TTCAAACTTTAACCTACAAAACCCTAAGCCCTGAACCCCTAGACCCTACACTTAACCCCTAAACCCTGGAAACCCCAAACCCTAAACCCAAGACCCTAAACTTAAACAAGACCCTAAACTAAACCCTAAACCCTGAAACCCCAAACCCTAAACCCAAGACCCAAGACCCTCAATGACATCATACACCCCGAAAGCCTATTCTAACTACTAAGGCCCTCGGAGATCCCGAAAGCTACAAAGGAGAAGGAAGGGGGTCTCTGTAATAGGAGTTACTACTATGGTTTGGGTTTAGGGTTTAGGGCTTAAGCCCTAAGCCCTAGCTTTAAAGTTTAGGGTTTAGGGCAAGTATCCCCCCCCATGGAATTACTTAAGAACCCTTTGGATCTGTCAGGCCTCCACGTGCGCTCGAAGATGTGTAGGTGACGGCCGGCCTGCTCCAGACGGCGGTTTAAGGTTTGGGGTTTAGGGTTTGGGGTTTGGGGTTTAGGGTTTAGGGTTGGTAGGTGCCATCCAAGGATTGGGTGCCCGGGGGTCGATGCCGATGAATAAAGCCTACACCCTCAACCCGCAACTCTCACCAAGCCCTAAACCTTAAACCCTCAACCCTTGACTGTCCCCAAAGCCTGAAGCTTTAACCCTAAACCCTGAACCCTTAATTCTCCCCAAACCCTCGACCTAAAACCCTAAACCCTCAATCCTTAACTGTCCCAAACCCTAACCCTCAATTCTCCCTGAACCATAAACCTTAAACCCTGCAGGCAACGAGACTCTCACTACGTAGTCACCCAGAAATTTCCCCTAGGATTTGCTTTAGGGTTTGGGATTTGTAGGGTTATGGACCATGGATGTATGGTCTTTTTTTGAATGCAGTGGGCCCTCTTTTTTCGCAGAAAGGAGCTCACCCCAGAGGGAGCAGCACTGAACACACAGAGACACTGAGCACAAAGTTCAGTGCGCAGAGATCGGCAGGACAGAACGGGTTCACTCATACGGTGCATGTGATCGTTCACTGACATGACAGGTCGCTGAGTCTCGGATGAGTTCAAAGGGCTTAGGTTTCAGGGTTTAAGGCCCAAAACCAGACATGTGAATCCTCGACCCCTTAAGCCCTTATGTATGGGGCCTAAATAATTACCAATACTGTTTTGGGGGTTCCTTATGACAAGTATTGGATAATGGACCCAAGAAGCCTATTCTAGCTATTAAGGCCCCTGCATAAAACCACTTTCAACATGCCCGGGCAGCCTTCCCACAGAGAAGACCACACCATGGGCTTCCCGGTGTGGCAGCTGCCAGATGTCGTTGATCTCACGAACCTCGCGGGCTTTGATGTAGGGATGAAACAGGATCCCTTCCACAAAAAACTCCCATGTGGCAGTCTGGGGTTTAAGGGGTTTCGGGTTTGGGGGATTAGGTAGGGCCATTGATATCCCAAACAATGCCTGCAGTTTGTGGTATAAGCCTAAAGTTTACAAACTGGGTTGTCTTCTGAAGAATTTTTCCTCCCCAGGGTTCCTTCTTTTAATATACCATAGTATACCATACTATCATATACACCAAAACCCTGTCGAAATGGAAAGAACCCTACATTATAGGAATCAGATCGCAACCAACCAAAGCAATCCATGCACGAGGGTTGTCCTAGACGGCCAGCAGAAGGGCCGAGGCAGTTGGGTCTCACTACCAACTGCCATGGTTTCCAAACATTAAAGCCCTAAACCCCAAACCCTAAAGCCCTAAAACCCTAAACACCCGAAGCCCCAAAGCCCTAAAGCCCTAAATACCCGAAGCCCCAAAAGCCTTCCACCCTAAAGCTCAAAAACCCTCCAGTATAAGTTGATTTGCAGCTGGGGCACCAATCTTTCTCGAGCCTCCTCGTCCATGGAAAGGGACGCCATCCTCTCGGCCGTTTCACGGTTTAGGGTTCAGGGTTTAGGGTTTAGGGTTCAGGGTTTAGGGTTCAGGGTTCAGGGTTTAGGGTTTAGGGTTCAGGGTTTAGGGTTTAGGCTTCCTCTAGGGGCTCTTTTTGTGGCTCCCTGGAGGTTTCTTTCAGGGTTCCGGTAAGCTCCGTTTTAACCAGCGGTAGTAGAGCTTCTTGCTTGGCTTTAGGACATCAGGGTTGCTCTGGCTACTAGCTGCAAGGGTTCAAGAAGGCTCTTTTTGGGGTGTGCTGAGAGTTTTGTGTCAGGGTGTGCCGGGGTCCTTATCAGGGGTTCTATTAGTGTGTTAGCGTTGAGGGTTGATGGATGTTTGTGGTTCCTGGATCTAGGAAGGTAGCCCGAAATCCTAGACTTTCAGACAAAGTATCACAGTCTCCAAGAACCAGCAACTGTCTAGCGCGCGCTCCTGGCAGCAGCATCAGTGAAGCGCATCCCATAGACGGTCACTCCTTCCAAACCGTGCTTGGGAGCATGGGGTTAGAAGGCAAGGGCCTGCGTCGCCTCTGAGGGATAGCTTATTGTTTATCAGGCTTTAACGCTTATAAAGCGAAGTGCTGCAGCAGGGTGACGGTTTGGTGTTTGACACCTATGGATGTAGAATTTCAGCCACGGTTGGGCTTTCAGGCTTGAGGGCGCTTTTACCCCAAGGCTCAAAATAGCCCAAAAAGCCTCACATAGCATGGTCTTCGGGCCCAAAAGCCTTAAAATATGAGTCCTTGGAGCCTTAGGGTTAGGTGACAGGCTAGTATGTCAACAAAGATTGCGAAACCTAGAGTTGGTTCTTTTACTTTGCTCCTGACTCTCGCAGTTCGTGGGCCAGTGCTTCCATGTACTGCTCCATGAAGTGCGTGGCCTCGACATCGACAGCATTCCCCTAGGGCTACAGTTACATAAATAGTAGGTAACTGGGGTACATAATATAATAATATATGGTTAGTAACCCACTATTTAAGTAACTGGAGCCCTAGGGAATTATGAGTTTCATCAGCCCTGCTTCCAGAATTCATAGCATATTATAACTGCTATTGTTTCACAGCACCGACAACAGCGGACTCCTTACAGATTTTGGTTGGCCGATGGCGGGTCTATTGCAGATGCACTAGTATTTCTCTTACTGTGCAGGCGCGCATGTGTGTGTGTGTGCGTGTGCATATAGCGTTGCAGAGATACATGATACATGTATAGTGTTATGTTTCATTTGCGTATCTGTTACTTCACTCGTTTATTTACCTGACCTAAACATGTCCTTCTGTCTCTACAAGGTCAAGAACAGCGTTTTGTAGGCGAGGGCCAGCTAAGCCTTGCAGTAACTTTAAAGAGTGCACGGAGTACAGGAAGCCACGTACACTAGCCTATCTCGCGGAGGAAACAGGATAAATAAAACCCCCGCTTCGATATGAACCCTCATCCTCCACCACCACCCCCAAAGCCATCCTCAGGTAAACGTGAAACTACACAGCCATACACTACCCTAAACCAACAATAGCCCTAACCCCATGCCCTTTCCCTAAACCCTAAACCCCATGCTGAATCTCACGCCTGCAAGCTCCCCCCTGCTCCCTCCCCCTGGCCAGAACCGACGCACCGCGACCGGCTCCCCAACGAGCTGGGCTCTGCAGCGCCTCTTCGCAAGACCTGGCTTTGGAGGAGTTGAGGAGTCCGGCGTCTTGGGTTGAGGGTTTGGGGGTTTTATGGTTTTAGGTTTTGTGGGCTTAGGATTCCCTAAACCCTAAACCCTAAACCGTAGGGTTTAGGGTCCAGTGCTTGCGGGCTCTGGGGCCTTTCTTTTGCGCCTCGAGGGCCCCGGGGCTTTCAGGCGTTTTGGGTACTAAGGCCTCATTGGAAACTTGGGGTCTAGGGTGCTTGGGCCCGAACAATGAAGGGTTTAGGGTTTAGGGGTTTAGGGGTTTAGGGTTTAGGGCTTAGGGCTTAGAGTTTCTGTAGGGTGTCTGCAAGATGTCTGCAGGAACCTTCTTGCAGAGCGCAAGGACAAAAGCACGCGATAGCTCGAGACCCTAATTCTAAACCCTATGAGCTGAATCCTCACCCTAAACCCAGAAGGAAAAAACAACATGAACCCTAAATCCAACAATCCTCCAGAGCACTAACAGGATTGCAGGCTTGGGGTCACATGCTTAAGGTTCAAGGTTTGAAGTTGAGTGTTTAGGGTTCAGGGCCGGGTCCAGGGGGCTGAGATACAAGATAGCGGCTGCAGCTCTAGGAGTTTTATCAGGTTTACAGTTTTTTAGGATGAACGGTTTTTTGGTAAGGAAGTGTCGGGCACCGTTGGTGAGGCGAGGGATTTGGAGTGATATAGGAATGGGTAGCATCAGCATTTTTTGACCGCAAGATCTGAAAGCCTGTGCAGCACTCAGCAGCCTACATCGTCACCCGCCTAAACCGGTCTGCCATTAGGGTTTAGGGTTTAAGGTTTAGGGTAGGCTGAGTGCCCCGGCACGGCGAGGAGCCTGGCTCCCTTCCGCATTCTTGGGACCTGCCAGGCAGAGGTCGTAGGAGACGGAAATTGACTCAGACACAAACCCAAACCCTATATCCTTATCTTGTTTTTGTTAAAAACTATATCCTTGTCTACCTTTCGAAGATAAGGATGGCCTGACAGGAGGGAGTAAGAACTGCAGTGACAGCCAGTTCTACTTCTCCAAACCGTGTTCTGATATCCTGAACCGTGCTCTGATATCCTGAGCCTTCAAACCAGGGAAAAAAGGAAGCAGCCCGAACTGCAGCAATAGCCAGTCCTACTTCTCAAAACCGTGTTCTGAAACACTCAGAGTTGAAATCAAGGATAGAAAGTTTATGGGTCGATATGCCCGAAGTGTATGTATGTATGTGTATGTATATATATATATATAGATCCTCAGCCCTAAAGGATCTGTAAAGGGACTATTTGAAGGCCAAAGCATGTACTATTTGGGTAATGTAGGAGCCTTATCAGAAAAGGGTTTTGGGTAACAAGGAACCCCCCCCAAAAAATAGTATAGGTTATTATGAAGCCCCCTATATATTACATGGGCCCCTTAGTGAAGAAGAAGTCCCAGGTACGAGAGCTGACACCAGAAAGCTCAAAGATCGCAGGGACTCCTCGGCATTCTCGGATTCTCGGCTTGGGATGGTTTAGGAGGGTTCCGTGCTGGGGGATATATTAAGAATGATCATGTTTAATCCTTAGTGGGTTTTATAATAAAAAATGTGAAATTGCAGCCAACAAGGACCCAGGTTTAGGGTTTACAGGGTTTCCAGGATTCCAAAGGCCCCCCAATTGTGGATTGAGATTTCTGAGGGTAGGCCTTCTTTCATTGATTCTTGAAGTTTCCGTGGAATTCGGGCTTAGGTTCAGAAGGTTTTCGGGGCTGCCAGTTCGCTACTTCCCGAAACCCACTCTAGATAACCCTATAAACCCTAAAGCCAACCTTGTACTCAAAAAACCACCCAACATAACCTATCAACTCTATATTCGCTGCGTCATGGACTATGGACTCGGAAAGATGCGTGGACGGGCCCGGTGTGCTCCTTGCGACTTTGCAGGTTTAGCACGTTGCATTTGACGGTGTTAGGGTAATGTGCAGAAGTGACCAGGCCGAGGCTTGAGGCTGATTGTGAGGGCACCCAACGTCGCAACAGCAGTAGAGTCAGTAGAGCCCAACCAACCAATCAACCACCCCGCCAACCAACTCACCAATCCACCAACCCACCAACCAACCGACCAACCAACCAACCAACCAACCAAAACCAGCCAGCCAGCCAGCCAGCCAGTCACCGTACCAGCCAACCAACCAACCAAGCAAGCAAATCAGCATGCAAGCACACCCACCCACACGCCCACTCAGCCAGCCAGCCAGCCACCGAACTACCCAACCACCCAACCACCCAACCAACCAACCAACCAACCAACCAACCAAACCAAACCAAACCAAACCCAACCAAACCCAACCAAACCCAACCAACCAACCAACCAACCAACCAACTAACCAACACACCAACCAACACACCACTTCAGCGATTCGATGTGAACGTAAACTGCCAACACCTCAAACCCTGCAACATGAACGGTGTGCATACATAGCTTCAGTGCCAACTGTTGCCCCTTTCAACTCCAACTCCTACAACGTAAAGACCCTAAACCATGGGCCCTAAACGCTACACCCCAACACAAGCCCTACATCCCAAATAAGCCGCGGTTCGTCGAAAGCAGGGGCTGCTCCAGTGGCAATGGTGCCTGCTGAGTTCGAAGCTGCAGCACCTCGATTTTTTCGGGGCTTCCATAAGGGCGGGGGGTTTAGGGTTGAGAGCGTAGGGGGTTACTAGACAGGTGTCTGTAAGGGCTAGGATAAGGGCTTTTCCTTCCTAGCAGCAGCTGAGTGAATGAAGGAACGCAGACTGTAGTTACAGATACATCAACATCAATCCAGGAACCCGATGGGTCCATGCGCCCAAATAGTATATTCTTTGGCCTTGCCATCCCTACATAGGAGCTTTAGCGACAATGTGGACCCTTAGTGGAACCTACACGTGCTGCTTGGAAGTAAACCCCAAGCCCTAAACCGTGGATGCCTCACCGCTGGAACAGGGCTTCTTGGGCATAGGATTTGGGGTTTAGGTGCGGTTTAGGGTTTAGGGTTTTGGATTTTAGGCTTTGGGTTTAGGGTTTAATTAGGGTTAAAGGGTCTTTGGGTGTGGGTGCTTACGCGCCGACTACTGGTACGAACATGCGTCAGTCTGTTCGGAACATGCACGCATGTGAAGGTCCTGCAGACCAACTTGAGTGTTTCCCTAAACCCTAAACCTCTAAATCCAAAACCCAGTGCCACATATTCCCGAACCCGTACGTGCCGGCCTTCGAGAACCCTGACCCCACAAAGCCCCATAAACCCTCTCTCCCCATTTGGTACGTAGAGTTTACGGCTTCGGGTTTAGGGTAAGCACGATGCAAAATTCAGACCCGGCAGTGCTAGTGCTTCATGGTTTATTGTGCAAGGCTTGAGAGGAGGCTCCCTTACGGGGGGAGAGCTTATCGAAGTGATCGTTATGACCCCTTGAAGCAGTGCCTTATGATCCCTAAGTTCGAGTCCGACGGTAGAACCCTTAAAACGGTAGGTCACTGGAGCCACAGGCAAGCTGTAGACCTTAAGCCCCTTAAACCCTTGACCTCAAACCCATATAGCCCGAATCCTGAACCCCAAGCCCACCTCCCACATGCATTAGACCGGCGATGTCCAGGTGGGGATATTCGGCCTGGGCCTCTTCCAGAATCGCTTCCGCATCCTGCTGAGGGCAAGGATTAGGGTTTAGGGTTGAGGGTTGAGGGCCAGGACATCTGGGAGGGTTTAGGGCTTCGTTCGGGCTCCGAATCTAAAGGATCCCGTGTAACCGAGGAAGAAAAAGGCTCCCTTGTTGGTATTGCGAGGTTGCCCGTAGTTTTGTATGGAACCTAAGACCACAAAAAGGAACACGAGCCAAAAAGTACGCAGTCCCTAAACCCTAAATCCCTAAACCTTATTATGCCCTACAGGGTCCTTTGTAAGAAGTATCCTGTGAGCTGGGGGCCGATATGAGGTACAGACGCCCCTAACCTAGAACCGTAAACCCTAAAATCCACATAACACAGTACCAAAGCCTCGGTAAGAATTACAACACCATCAGGGCTGCATTCTGCATCAGTGATGGTTTTCAGAGGGTGTATTGTAGGTTGATGGGGGTTTAACGAGACACTACAACGGCGTGCATACTCAGGAAAGGCCTTAGCGGAAGGTAGGCTATACGAAACTCCTCTAAACCCGATCCTGTTCCTATGACTACCTAGACCCTTGATCATGGGGACTCAAAAATGAGGAAACTAGAATCATGAGCCCTGAAAAGATAGGTTTTTTGCGGCTCCTACGACCCTATCCTCGGAGTTTATAAAGTACATACTTGGGCCTGGGGTACCAGTTTACAAAGTATATACTTGGGCCTGGGATACCACATACACCATACAGTATATCGGAACCCCTTGAATGCCTAAGTATACACGATATGAATATACAAAAAACCCTTCAGCAGCCTAAGTATATACTATATACCATAGGGGTACTATGGAGCCTTAGAGGGCTTCGGCTGAGGTCGGCCTCTGAGGTCTGCTTTGATTTAAGGCCTACGGTACTCCTGAACACCCTAAACTCCTACACCCTAAACTCCTAAACCCTAAACTCCTCAAAACTCCTAAACCCTAAACCCTTAAACTCCTAAACCTATCCAAAATCTATCCCTTCAACCCTAAATGCTGCTGTGCGGCAGCGGCCTCATAGATTTTTATACTACCATTCTAAGTTCTAGCGAGCATCTCTCCCGGTGAGGCGCCGTACAGTCCTTATACAACAATTAGGAAACCCTCGTTTGAGAGCCTAAGCCCTAGGAAAGCCCGGTGCATCCTATGAACCTTAAGCACCAGAGAAACCCTCATGAAAGCCTCGTTTGGATATCCACCCATGCTAAGCCTTAGGATTCCGACCTGGGAATCTTATAGCAACCCCTATGAAAAGCTTCATTGTAACATTTATGGGTTTAGGGCTTATAGGGTTCAGGGTTTAGGGTTTAGGGTGACGCCAAGCGCTCAGCACTAAGCCCCTCTCTAGTACCCTGATGAGGTCCATCGGACAGGTCCTGCAGGCTTGCGATGCAGCTATCAACTCGCTTCACCGCAAAACCCTCCGGGGCCAGCAGACAAAGATCCTCGTTCGAGCTATGGCTTGGGGCTTGGGGCTTTGAGTTTAGGGCTAGAGCTAAGGTTACGGTTTTGGGATTAGGGGTAGGGCTTTAGTAGGTTGGGGTTGAGCGATTCGGGTTTAGGGTTTAGTCAGGGCTACAACATTTCGGACTTGCTTTGCTAGTGTGCTCAAGCAGAGGGCATTGTTGGGGGCTTCTCGTCTTTATTCTTTGCTATGGGGGTTTGGTAGAGGTCTATAACGATTGCTTTGAACTTGGGGCGCCCCTGGTCCCCTAGAGCTCCTTACAATAAAGCAATACGGTTTAGGGTTTGGGGGCCCAGTACTATCCTTGTGCTTGGTCATTTGAATGAGACGTGCTCAGCATAGCATTTTGTCGTATCAACATGGACTCGTCATTGTGACAGCGTGGGTTCAAGTCAAGGTCTTTTTGTTAGAGGTTCCAGGTTTAGAGTCCAGGGTTCAGCGAGTCATGGCGCGGGTGACATCTCCATATGGAAGCAAGACGTTGGTGACACTCCAATAAGCAAAACCCTCAGCGCTCAGGGCACTTCTCTTATGATCATTCTATGAGGTAGCTCTTGTGAGACTCCCCCGACTGAACCGCTACTTACTTGGACTGAACGGAAGAAGAGTCCTGAACCAGACGCTCTAGACTCAGATGCGGTGCTCGTGATACAATGCTATTATACTAGTAAGTATAGTACTAGTATAGTAAGTATAGTACTATACTAGTACTATACTTACAATACTAGCAAAATACTTACTATACTGCATAATGCCATACGGTACACAAAAAACAACCAATATCATAGTTCTACTGCAGCCAGTGCTCTGTCAGCCGAGAGTTGGCACCGGAGACCAGGACCAAACCCCCCGTGCGTGCGGAGAGGTCTGCAGGAAAACCGGGGTGGGTTTAGGGTTTAGGGGGGAGCTTGGGGATGTTCATGGGTTGAAGGAGTCAGGGTTTAGGGCTTAGGGTGGGCCTGGGCGTTCAGAAGAGAGGGTGCAGTTCAGGGATTACAGAGACTGTCTGGACTCATAGTCTCGTTCGAGCGCCTTACACAGTTGACGTAGGGGCCTTAATGACTGAAATATGTTATACTTTTGGTATGAGGTAATACTTATGGGCCCTATATTGTTCCATGTTATTTCTGCAACGATGGACGACCAAGTGGGATGGCCAAGGAGCCTCATGCAGGCTGTTGGCTGCTGCTTTAGGGTTTAGGGTTTTTGGGGTTTAGGGGTTTAGGGGTTTAGGGTTTAGGGTTTTTCTGGCCTTCTGCCGACAACTCGCAGGGCGAAGTTTGTATACCAGGGTGATCAGAGACGATCGAAGGCATGCGCGCATGTAGCAGTTTCAGCAACTCACTAGTCACAGGTTTAGGTGCGGGGATCTTTCTGTGTGAATAGATCTCGCGTCGGCATGTGACAGTGTATGTTCACTTTATGCTTTACAATGTGCATAACTTTGCAAGCACACATGGACATGAATGCATGCATGCATGCATGTCTGGTTGCATGTACACGCGTATGTCATGGTATAACTGTATATCTGCATAAAATTATGTACATATGCAATTACTTTACCAATGAAACTGTTCAACCACAAAGCTCGAGGTAGAAAGCAACGATGGGCTCTAAACCTCACCTTACAAGCGTATAAACTTGCAGGGCTCAACTCTAAACCCTGGAGCACCAAAGCCCAACCCAAGTCCATGTTCCTTGTATTATAGAAGTTTCTGCCATCAGGATCCATCCCTAAACCCGAAACCGCGAACCCTAA